CCCCAACTTATGGAAATCTTATTACAATTCTGAGCATTGATGGAGGTGGTATTAGAGGAATTATTCTTGAGTTTCTTGAATCTCAACTTCAGGTACTTAATATTTTCATTTTGATTTTCCATTCCCATCCTGTAAAGCTGGTGTACATGTTATCTGCATATTATATTTCCATTTATTAATCTATAGGAAGGGGTATGGGCCAGATCCCCACCTAGTCCCAGGTGGTGCTTAAATAATAATAAAAATTTCAATTTGCAGAACCAGATATCTTTTAATATTAATATTTCCTTCTCACAAAATGAAGAAACTCTCTGTCAAACAACGATAGATAGATTGATGTATCACTGGACCAAATTGGTACCAAATATGCATTTTTTTTCCCTTGCTAGGAAATTGACGGGGAAGATGCAAGACTTGCAGATTACTTTGATGTAATTGCAGGAACAAGTACAGGAGGTCTACTAACAGCCATGTTAACTGCTCCAGATGAAACTAATCGTCTACTATTTGCAGCTAAAGATGTTAAACCGTTTTAACTTGAAAATTCCCCTAAAATTTTTCCTCAAAAGCGGTATAAGTTAACTTTACAACTATGAAATGCATTTACATTTCTTGTACGTAACTTCTTGTTTTATTGATGAACATTGGCTTCAATTGCAGTGGCTTATTTGGCTGGGTTGGACGACTATTGACATTTTTATTTGGACCCAAGTACGATGGAGAATACCTTCACAAAATTATAAGGGAGATACTAGGAAAGACTCGATTGCATGATGCCTTGACTAATGTCGTAATTCCAACCTTTGATATCAAAAATATGCATCCAAGAATTTTCTCCACATATCAGGTTTACATTTTCTTCATTATTTATTTTCCCCAAAACCAATAAATTTACTAGAGAAAAGTGCAACATTATTTTTCTTTTGTTAATTTCTGATATATCCATGTGCATGTGCATGTGCATGTGGATGCATATTTGTAAGTGTACATGTTGGAAAACTTTAAAGTAATTGAGATAGAAATAATGAGAAGTGTTAACTCTTTAATTTACAAACTAGAGTATGAGCTTATTTAAAGGGATAAATTACTATAAAACGATAAATACACACTGCTATTTAGCTCAAAGAAATATATATATATATATATATATATATATATATATATATAGAAAGAACTAAGACAATGGAGGTGAACAACCAAACTAATCCCAAGGGGACAAATAAGAACTTGAAAAAACTGAAAAATTGACGGTACTACTCTCATTACACGAGTATTTAAACATGATACTAAAGAGAAAAAGATCGTTGTATTTTTCTAAGCCTCCATTTGGCAAACTTATAAATTATAAATAGGAATAAAAGACGAAAGGGGCCAGTCTCTGGACTTTGTAAAGCCAGATTCACTGTTATTGTTATGTTCCGAGTAATCACTAAACCAGCAACTAATCAGTTCAAAGCATTAGTCAATCTTATATAGTAGCAGCAAAATTACATAATTGTTTCAACTATTTCTGCTTACAAAGAGTCAATAAGGATAGACAAACTAGATCAACGTAGGTATTATCAAGTCATAAGGAACTAGAACGAACACATATTCTACGTCTCTACTGTATGAATAAAACTTTTTTGATTCTTATATTCTTAATAATATCAAAAATTTTAGTCGAATGTTATGACTCGACTTGTATCTCACAACCCTTTATTTGTAAGCATATGATAGTGTGGTAGGTCACATAATCAAATAATCTTTGTGATAAATACTTCAAAGAAATATTAATTTCATTCAGTATATTCATTCATATAAATGCTCTTAAAAACTATTTAAACATAAGATGCTCTCTATAAAATAGAGCTAATTTTTTAAAATTATGCTCTAAGAAATTCTTTAAATTAATATTTTAATTTATAGAGTGAGTTTGACTCTCCCACTCTTTATAATTAAATATAGTCAAAGTATTTCATTTTTCAATAGAGAAAAATAATATTATAATTTTATGGGAAGTCAGTGAAATAAAAGATGGGGAAAAACAATTAATATTTTTTGGGGGTAATAAAATTATTTTTATTTATAAAGAGCCTGCATGAGTACTTCAAATTTTTTAAATTTAGAATATTGTATTTAAAAATAGAGTCTCTTCGATATGCTCATTTAAATGTAATTCTTATATTCATGCATACATTTAAATGTATCTTCTTGGACTTTTCTGTGACAAACCTTGTCAATATGCTCAGCAACAATCTTTCTAGGATTTCACAAGATTTATTGAACAGTAGACTGCTTTAAATTTGACTACAAAACCATTGTGTTGTTTGATTGTAATACAATTAAATATTGTTTGTGCCTTTTTTATTCCCGCAGAAAACTTGAAATATTTCAATTTTTTATATTAATCAATCATAGGACCAAAAAATGTAGATAACCTGAGATTTAACGTAATGAAGTGCATATACGGGTCATAGAGACATCGTAATTGGATGCTCGACTATCAGATATATGCATTGGCACATCTGCAGCTCCAACTTATCTTCCTACATATTATTTCAAGAACCAGTATAAACAAAGTGATGTTTGGGAATTCAACCTCATAGACGGTGGTGTTGCTGCCAATAATCCGGTAATCTAATCATCATATATATAGGTCTTAAAGATTTGTAAAATCATGCATTTTGATAGCTTGTAAATAAACCCCTATTTGACTGTCACTTTTTGTGTAAAATGAGTTTTTTTAAGAGTAAAGTTTTAGAGAATGTATGCGTAAAAGAAAGGAAAAAGACTTGTGTTTACGTAAAGAATCGATGGGTGCCCCAATCGTTGCTTGGCATGGGGTAGCATAAGTCGTTTCCACTGAAGAGGTGAGCAGTTTTTGAGAATCTGCCATCTTGAAGACTATTTTATTATGATAATGTGTGGTTGAAATAAGTATGAGAATAAAGGAGCTTTAGAAGAATGATTGTAAAACAGGGACTAAATAAACCCGTTTGTGCCACATCTTTGTACCTTTCAATAACAAGACAAGAAAATTTGTTAAGAACTTATAATTTCGCAAACTCTGCATTATTGCAAGCATTAGTAGCCATAAGCTAAATTACCAAACAGATTTTTGATGGACATCCAGACTTCTTCTCAATTAAGCCTACTGGTTATGGACGATTTTTAGTAATCTCAGTGGGCACTGGCTAGTCGAAGGTAGAAAATAAATATAATGCCAAAAAGGCAGCCAAATGGGTTCTTTTAGGATGGTTGCTGAATGGAGTTTCCAATCCAATAGTGGATGTTTTCACTCAAGGCAGTGCTGACATGGTGGATTTACATATTTCTGCTGTTTTTCAAGTACTCTATTCTAAAGAAAATTACCTTAGTGACGTCGGGTAGGATAGTGATTATCCTATTGGCTTGTTGTAGAGATGATTCACAAGAAAAGAACGACAGAAAATGCCCAAAAATAGAGAAAATACTCTGAAATCAACTCAGTATTATTAATAATGCAGAATGCCCAAAATTAACCCACAAGCCGGGTTAAATAGTTGCGAAATACGAAATTATGGAAAAATTACCAAAAATGGCAAAATTTCGAAATTATACCAGAATAAAATATTAAGTAAAAGAACTAGGTTGCCAAAGATTTGGTTCTATTCGAGTTTTCTAACATATGGAAAAGGGGAAACGAAATATTCCCATAAATAGCAAAAAATGACTTAAAAATTGAATTTTGGAAAGGAAAACAGCGGATTTTGGGCTCGAAATTGACGCCCACCGAGCATAGCTTTTCGGATTTGGGTCATAATAATGATTCCGATAACCGTAGCCAAAGTTATGGCCAAATTACTAAAGACGCGTCAAATTTCCCCAATTAAGGAAATAATTACGATTCACTTTCTATCTTTACGCCGATCTGCCATCTTATGGTATCTTAGCTCCATCATCGTGCTATCTAACAAATCAACATCACTCGACTCGAATCCTCCTGCATCACTTAGAATCCAAGTAAGCTCATGAAAAAGTTTAAGCTATTAGAAACTTTACCCCTTACTTATAAATTTAAATATTTTTTAACATTTTTAAATATATGAACTTATATACAATTTATTTATCTGGATGCAAGGATGACACGTTGACGGGAATAACTTCCTTCTTTGATGGAGCAACGAAGGAGAACTTGAACAAACTAGTCAAAATTGGGCAGAGATTATTGAAGAAAGCAGTTTCGAGGGTTAATTTGTATTCAGGTCTATTCGAGCCAATTGAAAAGGGTGGAACAAATGAGGATGCTTTGAAAAAGTATAAACATACGCACACATAACTATATATTCAAGCATTTGTGTTTTTTATATTGACAATACATATCATTCATATTAACAATTGAGATATTGCTATATCTTGTAGGTTTGCGAAATTACTTTCAGAAGAAAGAAGGCTCCGGAAATTTAAATCACCTTTGAACAAGAAATGCTCGAAATAGCTGAATTATTTTATCATCCTTTAGGCATTTATTAATAATTACTTAGTTCAAATACAATTAGTTCCATCTTCAACGTATGTATTCTATAAAACCTCTGATGAGATATATTTCATTTATTCCTTATTTCATAGAAAGCGTGTCTTGATATCATCTAATAAATACATCGTTATATTTGTAGTATGAGGAAATTGCAATAAATGTCCACTTTCATATGATCATTTGCAAAAATACCCAAAAATATTTCTGTGTCCATTATAAAATAATTTAGACGAAAATACCCTTGTTAATAATTTCTAATTCTACATTAATCACAAATTTTTTATACAATTAAGTGTTAACCAATGACATTTTGATACATAATCTATACTACTTATTTTAGAAAGTAAAAATGTCAATCAATTTAAATACTCCCGATCCAACCCGATCCATATGATTAAAAAAGCGTAGCACTCTCCCACACTCACCCACTTCCTCTCATTCACTTTTCTTTTGTAGCCCTAAAAGTTTCTTTCATTCATCATTGCCCACTGCCACTCCAACTATTAGATTTTCCATTGCCGATTGTCGATCGCCACTTTATTGCCTTAGTTGCCTCTTCTTCTCTCTCTATTAGATTTTTACTTATTTGCCTTTAAAGTTGTTCTTTTTTTTTGGTTGAGTTACTGTACATGATTTCTTCCTTTCTAGATTGTCTTGGGTATCAAGTGAAAATAATAGATAAAATATTTACAAATCAGAATTATGTGGAAGATTTTCCATTCCTCAAATTTCAATGCTATAAATGGAGTCTTGAGATTTTGAAAATTAATTTTATCTAATTTTTCTTTGGAGTTATGGTTATTGATCGTAGGGTTTGATTGATCTATGTTTACATTGCTTTCTAGTTGATTATTTCATAGAGTATAATTTTGTGCAATGCTTGATTAATTTATAACTGGGTAGCAGGTAAACTTGTATTTATTTGTTGTTTGATCAAATAAATAGCTTATTCGTTTCTTGAACTCTATCAATTAAGCACAATATATTTGTGTAGGAAATGTGGTGGACTAGGTGATTTTGTTAAAATTGATTGATTTGACTATTTAAATGTCCTGAAATGCTGCATTGCTATTGAATATGGTTGATATTACTTGTGAAAAGCTCAATAACATGAACAAAATCATGGTTTCATTTGCTTGAGTTCTGCAGTAATTCAAAATAATGCTTAAAGGAGACTTGTACATGTATCGTGGGAAATGAGTGTATGGGGATGGTGAATGATCTACTGGATAATCCAATGAATGTTTTTATGCTGTTCTAAAGATTTTAACTCTATGGTATTTCAGTTTATGATCCAAGTATTGTGATATTAATTGAATATTAGAGTAGAATAATGCTATCATCGTTGTCCCGAAACTCGCTCCAAGGATCACTAAATCAGTGTTTTTGGGGCTCAGTTTCACGTTATCTTTCTTTACCAACCAACCCAAATTGCTCCAACCCACAATTAATATATTTACCTCGGTTGCTTCTTAATCTCACCCATAAAGGACAAGATAACGTTGATGATTTGCAAGCCACAAAGACAGGGGAAAAGCAATGGAAGAAGGCAAGAAAAGAGACCACAATACAAAGATGAATACACCAATTTTTGGAAGCACAAAAGGCAACCACTTTTCTTCTCTATGGCAATCATTTTCACCTTTTCCCATACACAAATCACACACTAAAAAAGGCTAGGTTAAGCACATATATGTAGGTTAGTATAGGCTTTATTTGGGCCAATAATAAGATTAAATGGGCCAAGATTCAAAGTCATCCAAGATGTAATTAAATGGCCCGGGTTGAGCCGTTGAACACTGTTGCTGATAATTATTTCACTCATCAATCGAGGCATATGAAATATATTCCAACATTTAACATCATTGTCTAGGATTTATTGAGTATCAAAAAATCCAACAAATCTTCACCTTGATACGCAGTAAACCTTCAAGCAATTCAAACACATAGTTAGTACTTACATAATCAAGGTAACCGATAAAATTAGGACAACAGACCTTACCTCATGTTATGGACTAGAAACACATATCATACCTGCTCCATATGCTCACCAGGGCTAAAGTCAAAAACACCCAAATAGAAGCAAATAATCACAATAATAAATCAAGAGCAAATAAATATGTGATGACGATATAATATAACATACAAATCATTTCAAAAATGTTCACACAGAACAACAAACTAATACCAAGTTAATCATTATAAATGACCCCAATGAAGATCTCACCACACTTATTCTATCCATTCTGTATTGCCCCCATCTCGAGAACACATATCTCATCTCATTGCTGACTATGCTCACTAGACTGATCACTCAACTCATGTCTAACTGGTAAACTACAATAGATTCTAAGTCTATGGGATAATCCTCTATTTCGACATCACTCCTCCCAACCTACATGGATAACAGGTCTTCACTTAATAGAAATGATAGAAGTGTCTATCTCATACTCCACTTGATCAGGGTCTTTTCGCAAATAAAGGATTCCAACATTTAATCACCTCTCTACTCATTGAAATGTCATATTCTATATTTCCAGTATAAACCACTAATATACCCTTAGGAATTTGTGCTCCACTTACCAAAATACATTCAACACACTTCTAATGCATCACAAACCACTATGCATGTAAACAATTACACTATTAAGATCGCTTCAATTCATGTAGTTATACATAGAGACAAATTGAAAATGATGTCAACGTAGCATAATTAAGCAATCACATATGTAGAAATGATTGCACATAGATTCAAATACAGTAATTAGGTTTACTCTCACTAAATCTCGTTAGGGTCCTCACTTGAAAGCCACATTCATCCCATCTCTCATTTTACCTTTCTGCTTATCTTTCTTCTTGAAATAATTCCTAACGAAGTGTCCAGACTTACCATAGCTATAACACCGTCTACCACTAGACTTGTCCTATCCCTTGCCCTTTTACTTACCATCCTCATCACTTGAGTTACTACTCGAATCACTATTGTATTGAGCTATACCCAAATTCATATGCTTAAACTTCATTCTACTTATCATCATATGTAACTCACCACTCCTCTTATCTTCCTTTTCAGCCTTAATCTCCATCTCCTTACTCTTAAGGAAATCTATGACAATCTTGGGTATCAAGGTGTCCTAACCAAATTTAATTGCATTCCTAACCTCTCTATATGAATCAGGCATTGAATTAAGCAAAATAAACATTTCAGACCTTTTCTTCTTCAACAATTTTGTTAAAAACATCCAAATTGTTATCAAGATCCTTTGAATGGTCCACTTTCAAAACTGAAATTTTTTTCAAGTATGACTTATTAGAAGTAGACTTAAGCGAAAACAGGTCCTCTAACTTTTTCCAAAGTTTTTTTGTAGCATCACTTTTTCTCGTGTCGCTATGATGCCATTTAGAAACAACACGAGAAGGAAAAAAAGTAGTATTTTGTGGATTCTTGTTTTCCAACTTTCTCAAAAATGTGTCAGATATGAGTAAAATAAATGAAGTATAAGCAACTTCATCATATTATTCTTTTAGTGCTTCTGTCAAATTTGTAGAAAATGTGTCACTTATGGCTTTCGAAACATTTTACTAAACTAAAATCAGCTTCATCCGTTTTACCAAATTGAAAATTTTCCTTTACCATTGAAAATTCCAACTTCGAAATATGACGTTATTTTAAAAATATAGAACAACCAAAGTACAAAAATAGGTCGCAAAAAGTAATTCTAATGTTGTAGTATGTACCATTCTAGATTCTTAAGGTTTCGTAAGATTCATGATCTTAGATCAAGGAAATGTTCAAACAGGTCAACTCTAGATGTCCTAACAGAAAAATCAATGTAACACGAAGGTATGATAACAAAAAATTCAATTTCTAATGCAATGCAATTTCACATAGTGGCTAGACGACAATCAGAGCACAAAATCAATTATCAACTTGCAATCAAATTTAGTACTTCGAACATAGGAAATAATTTCTAAATTTTTAGTACAAGCAATGGTTACCCCACACGGTAACACCAATTGTAATATCACCCCATACGATGATACTCTAATGCTGAAATTTGATTTAGGATAAACCAATATACTAGAGTGGACCAATCTGAGTCCATGAATTAAGAAAGATACGAATTTATCACTTTAGGACCACCACTATTTGTTCTAAAGTCTCCAGCAATTGTAGGAATCAATCAGCAACGATCGAATCTGGAATGTACAAAGAATAAAATAATCTGAACTTTGTTGTACAACTTGAACACCAAAATGTTAGAAAAACGTTAGAAACAAACTGTTTGAAGAAACCTCCACAAAATTCAAGTCAACATGCCCTCATGCGCCGTTGGACCCTCTGTGCGTGGGCTTCACATGCTGCTACACGCACCATCACTGTCGATTACTTGCCTGACCTTCGAGATCACCTCTACCTACACATCATGCTTATGCTATTCATTTCACCAAGTCTCTAGATTGGCCGAAAATTGACAAAACAACTTTGATTTTTCACAGTTTTCGGACAAATTTTCAATCTATTTTTCTTCTTCATTTCTACTTTTTTGATCGATTTTTGGTTAGTTTTTTAGCCAAATCCACCACCTTGAAGCTCTAATACCAATTGTCATGGAAGTTCACTCCAAAAATCATCAAATTGGTGTTTTTCAGGTTCTGTTTCATGTTGCCTTTCTTTACCAACCAAAAAATTTGAACTGCGCCAAATCACAACCAATATATTCACCTTAGTTGTTTCTCAATCTCACCCCACAAAGGACAATATAACGATGATTATTTGCAAGTCACAAAGGCACGGAAAAAATAATGGAAGAAGGTAAGCAAAGAGACCAAATACAAGATGAATCCATTGGTTTTTAGAAGCACAAAATGTAGCTGTTTTCTTCTCTATAGCACACATTTTACCCTTTTCCTAATAAAAATCACACACTAAAAATTACTAGGGTAAGCAATATATGTGA